GGCGGCGGCGGCTCCCGCCGCTCCGGCTCTTACAGGGACGCCCACGTGCGCGCCCTCAGCGCCACGCAGCCCCACCTGTGGCGCCGCCCGCCCCTGCGCGGCCGAGTGGAAGGTTCTGGAAGCGGCGGAACAACGGCCTGAGGGGCCCTGTAAGCCGAAGGCCGCTGAGGAGTCAGGGGGTGGTTTTCCTGGGTCCACACACTGCTGCAGGTGGGGGGTGGGCGCCCCATCTGACCCTGCCCCTCTAGGGACTGCAGCCTGCGCTTGGCTCTCACTCACCGGAGCCCAGACACACAGCCTCAGCTCAGAGGCCTCTGAACCTGAATCCTGACCGGGTAAGCTCAGTCCAAACCAGCCCGGCCTGAGGGCACCTACGCCCAGTCCCCACTCACATGGTACCCCTGCAGGTTGAGAGTCCACTCTTAGCCTCTCCCAGGAGATCCTTTTAAGGCTAACATGACACCCAGGCCCCTGCCCAGTGGACCCCCACGGTAGAAAGCTGAAGGGACCCCTGCCCCAGCCCCTTCTGTTTCAGCACCAGTGAACCTCCTGTAGTTCCCCAGGGTGACCGCCCCTACCACCCTAGGGTCCGGGGCTTTGCTGACACTTAGAGTGTGCAGGCCAGGGGTGGGGTCTAGTCACAGCCAGGGAGTCTCGGTGCAGAACCAGGCCACACGCTCGCCAGGAGTCAAGGCGCCTGCTCCGGTGCGCACATGGGCCCTGGGGCGGGCTGTGCCCACTGAGATGGGGGTCCTGCCCCAGGACTGGCATGGCTGGCACGGCTGGCCCTCGCAGCCCGGGGTGTGTGGAGGGGCCTCCCTCTGCTTCTTACTCCCCTGCATCCATGTAGAAAAGGTTTTTTCCCACAGTAGGGAGGTTCCAGGGGGAGGGAGGATTCAGGAAGGAAGGAGCAAGGCCTTCCCCAGTTTTCATCGCTGTGTGTTCATTTACCTTTGTGGAAAGGGTGGGCAATTGACACATTTATAAGTAAAACCCCACAGTTTTCCTCACTGAATGTACTTTTTACTTCCCCACTAGCAACATGATTAATTTCTCTACGGTCTCACTAAAGCTTTGTTAGTAGCTTTCCATTTCCGAAGGATGGCACTATGCGCTTTCTATGCGACAGTTTCATTGTAGAATCAGAGGTACTTCATTGCCGCCTAGATGAAAACAAATATCCACCGTGCACATAGATTGCCACAAATCACCCTGGAAGCAGTTCAGGCTGAAATAAAGTCTAGGGCCATCATCGGTCTCCAGACTCAGCCGGTCCCTTCAGTGGGGCTTTAGCTCCGGCCCGTTTCTGCCCAGAAGAAAACTTTTTGAGACATTAGCACCCAGTCTCCCCCAAAGCCTCCCCTCAGAACAACTGCCCCTCAGAATGAAGTGTAAAGTAGCCCCCCCAGTTCCTTCCTGCTGTCAGGACTCTGGGCTCAGTGGAATTTTCTAACAGGTGATGTGCACGTGGGAGGGTGGTTGGTGATGCTGTGACCTCACTGCCTTTCCCCACACAGCTCTCAGGTGATGACCCTGGGGGCTAAGAACAGTCTGAAAAGCGCTGCCCAGGTGCCAGTGATGGGAAACCATGAGCAGCCAGTGACTATGTAGAGAGAGGTCTCAGGAGACTCCATCTTTTCCTGATTACTGGGGCGAACCAGCCCTCAAGGGGGAGAATTGGGAATGCTGGGGGTGGACACTTGAGGGTTGGGAAGGGGCCAGACGGTCATCAGATAGTGGTACAAGCAGGACCCCAGTGGACAGCAGTGGGGTGTGGGGAAGCTCCCACCTGTGCAGCCGTGCAAGGCCCAGCAGGTCTGCCAGTAGCTCCCGAGCCTCAGTCAGGCACCAGCAACTTCAAGCACGCAAAGGGACAGGATTATTAGACTGACCGGGCACATCACACAACTGGGTCATCAGGAAACTGCGTCTCGCCAAATGCCTGTCCTACTTATCGACTCAAGAAGCTGCAGTTCGGCAACAGGGAGAACGTGATGCCTGTAATCAGTAGTGCAAACCACTGGGCTGACTTGCAAAACCCAATTACCAGTCCTAAAACATGTTTGCCTTGGCATTTTGTGCACACATCACACAACTTAGAAGTCACAAAATAGAGGTGAGTGGCCTCCCTGTGATCCAAGGTGAGGCTTCACGAGTCAGACATGACCCAAAGAACGGAGACTCAGTCAAGCGGGCCCTGAGCATTCTGCTGCTCTTACTTTTCCAGGGCAAGCTCTGGCTCCCGCTCCGCTTTTCTTCCCCTGCTGCTCCATTTAAGTCACAGAGCTGACGTGTGATGCTGCAGCGATGCTGGGTGATGGACTTACTGTATGCATTCATACTACAGTGTCCTTCACTGATGGAAAATTCGGAGCAACTGCAGGTTATCAACCACTTGTTTACCAAGCTATTCACAGCTGTGTGAAAGGCAAGGGTAAAGCCTGGTTTCCTGGGGCCACATCTAAATAAAAATGAACGGGTGCTCCGAAAAGATGCCTTTATAAAGTGGTAAAGAAATACAGGTACCAAAATTGAGATGCTTATGGACTCCAGCCTGGGTCCCGAAGCCTTCCCTGGGGCCTCTCACCCAAAGGGTTGCTCCACACTGTTTGTCTTCCCCCTTTCCTCCCTCTCCCCCTTCCAGAGATTCCTGGGACTCCAGGACCCATCCCACCAATGAAGGACCTCTCCCCTGCACTGCCAAGAGGGTCATTACTTCCCCCTTCTGCTTCTAACTGCACTGTATGTTCGTACTGGCATAGCGACAGGCCCTCACCCATAGATTCGATGTGACTGTGCATTTGGCTGGTGTTCTCAGGGAAACCTCCCCTTTTCTCTGAAGTGAGCACTCTGGGGGTTCCAAATCTAATCAAATACATCCCCCCCTCTGTTCATCGCAATGACCAGTCTTCCAGTAGTTCCTTTCTGATCTCTTCTTGCTTTCTGGACAGTGGCACATGATGACTTCACAGGCCCTCCTGGGTCTGGCGCTGCAGGGGCCCTCCCTGCATTCCTAACTTCTCAGTGAGCTCGGACGTTGAGAGGGTAATTTCTCGGTGCTGCCTTTATCCGTAAGCATAAACATCAGATCTGAAGAGTTGACTGATCTTCAGAGACTTGCCTGAAACTCAGGTACAGCATATATTTCTGCTGAAGGGGAAAAGATCTTGGTAAATGAGTGATTAGGAGAATTTGTTTTACTTCTATTAGTTTCAGATTAATCCAACCATTATGTTTGGGGAATATATGTGTGAAAGAGAATCTCTGGGTTCAGATTTGCTTACTACACATTTCTGGCCAAACTTTATTTTATATTTTTAGATACACATATAATTTTATTTTATTTTTAATCCCCCAAACATCCTATAATTAAGATGTTAAGTAGACAGGAACTAGACTTTTGCTAGAGATGTGGCATATGCAGATATTGAAATACAATGCGCACCTGAAATTTAGATAACGTTATAAGCCAATTTTTTTCAATAATGTTTTAAAAGGTATCACTTTTCTTTATTTTTAAAAATTGAATTATTTTTGAGGTAACGGTTTACATTCCATGACTCTGAACTACATTTCCCAGGAGTCTGGCGCAGTCCTGGGCAGTGGCCTGAATTTCATGCTAAGAGAAATCTGTACAGCCGGCAGCGTTCCCAGCATTTGCAGGCTAGTTTCTGCGACCCTGAAACATGCTTTCCCAGTCCGGGCGCCTCTTCTTCGGGGGCGGGAGGGGGTGCTCTGCAAAGGCTGCGTTCGCAGCTCGGAGGAGCCCCGCCGTGGAAACTACATCTCCCAGAAGTCTCTGCGGCACCGCAGCAGCGACGGAGCAGAGCCGCAGCGGGGGGGCGAACCGCGCGCGTCCAGCTCCGCGCAGCCCCAGGTTTCTGAACTACATTTCCCAGAGGTCCCCGCGGCCCCGCCCCCGACGAGCGCCCCGGAGTGCCTGCGGGCAGACGCGCTGCCAGCGCCAAGTGTTTGTGGGTTCTGCTTCCCCTGGACGTCGCCGCGAGAAACCTCAGCCTCGCGCCCTCTCCCGACGCCCTGGAGGTGGCTGGGTCGCAGCGGTGAGTTGGTCGCATCCCAGGAGGGACCTGCGCGGGGTGCGGCGGGAGACCGCGAGTAAGGAGGGTGCCCGGGGCGCGGAGGCCCGCGAAGGAGCCTTGGCCTGTGGCTGCCGAGCGGCTGGCGGGCGGGAGAGGAGGCGATCGGAGCTCGCGGGGTCGGGAAGGGCTGTGACGCACTTGCGCGTCGTGTGTCCGCGGGAATGGCGGGGCCGGGCCGCGTCGCGGGGCTGAGGTGCGTGTGGGGGCGTCATGGGGGACGGTGACGCACTTGCTCGTGAGTGCATGTCGCCGGCGACCGTGTCCCCACTGACACGCGAGCGTGTGCACGTCTGTCGGGGGATGCGAGGGTCCGTGCCTCAGCCGCTGTGGCCGGTGTGAGTTACCTGCGCGGGTCGGGGCGAGGAGGGGTGGCGGTGCCCGGATGTGACTGCGGCTGGGAGTGCTTGCCGTCCCCAGGGTTGGCAGAGCCGGGCACTGTCCGACCAGGTGTCACAGGGCGGGGCAGGTCTGGGTGCGACCTTCCGTGTGCCTGGGTGTGTGCGGCAGTGTCACCTGTAGCTCTGATGTCCGCTGCTTCTCTGCCTTCCCCTTCCAGCCTCGTGGTGCCTGGTTCTCCGCGGGGGCTCCTGGACTCTGTCATGAAAATTAACGACAATACAGATAGAATCTTTCTTATTTCTTTAAGGTTCCTTTATTTAGGCATAGAGGAACTGGGGAGTAAGAGCATTCACCAGAGACGTAAGATGGGCTAGAGAAAAGCTAAAGCAGAACCCCAATTAGAAGAGCCCCTAATAATGAGATCCTAGTGCACTCTTATTTCCTTATGGTTTTGGATTGACTTGGGGACAGGTGACAGGTGTGAACTTGGAGGGTGTTTTAAAGTTTTCTTTATTTGCGCATACAGAACTGGGGGACAGGCCAGAGGTGCAGGGGTGGTGAGAGGATTCACCAGAGACAGAGTGGGGCGCAGAACTGGCAGACTGACGAAGTCCACTGCTGAGGGGAGCAGTGAGCAGAGAAGAGAGGTCTGTGCCACATGGGTCAGACCCCTGGCGAGGATGGAACGCGCACTGAAGTGGCTAGCTTTCAGGTTGTTTTCTAATGTAAGCTGTGCTTCAGAATACCCCTAGAATACCCCTGTCTTCTTCCCCCCATGCCAGCTGTCCTCCAGAAAAAACATCTGAAGAAGGAAGAGTTGTCATCCTTCTTAAAATCAATGCAAAGGAAAAAAGAAAAAGAGAACCAATCCCCTAAGTAGCTCATAAAGAAACTGGAAATTATCCATAAATGTACCATCCAAAGATAAATTACTGTTGAAGTTTGGTATGTTTCACTCTTGCCCTTTCCTAAGCAAGTGTGTATGTGGTTTTGAGCATTAAATCCTAATCGTGTGAATGAGCCAGAGATTTTCCGGATCTCAGTTTACAGAGGAGATTCAGTCATTATACCCTCGTGCTTGTGCCAGGAGAGAGGCTCTCCAGGAATGCATTTTGCTTTGAAAAAAAATCTCTCACCTGTAGGATGAGAGCTTTATCACTTGAAACTAATCCCATGGCAACAAGTGATTAAGAAGGACATCCTTTCCCAGTGAGGCTGTCTAGGGTTTGGTATTTCTCTCACAGGCCATTACAGTGGTCCCTGGCATATTACAAGTGAGGACTATAAAATAAGAGATCTATAGAGCAAGTATAAGGTGGCCGTAGTTGCAAATGTTCGCATAAACCTCCCCCATCACACTGAAGAGATTCAGCCTTTTGCTAATGTTCTTAAGTGATTCTCGGCTCTGGATTGTGTTATAGTATCTTGTCTGTTCCTTTTGTTGCTGGTAGGGAAGGAACATTTCCTCCTTAGGTGTATTAGAATCTTTTTTTTTTACTAGTATTGTTAATTGAAATGAATTTCATTTTTAATAGACTCTGAAAGTTTTCAACTAGCATTACCTAGACAGCAGGTTTGAGATGCATCCGTTTAGCATAAGAAAAGGAAAGAGACTGGCATTTCTTCTATCAAAATGGATTAAAGGGTGTGTGATACTGTTCATCTTGAATAATTACTTGTGCTGTTGCAGAGTACTGCGCTCTGTGTAGGTCATCTCCCCACAGTTGAGGCAGGCCAGCCTGGGAGGTCTTGTTCCCCGTCTTCCAGTGGGCGGGCTCCTGACCGCTGCAGCAGCCGTGGCAGCCACGTGGAGGACCACGCGTGGTCTAGCAGGGATGCTCCCGAGCCAGGGCGCAGGCTCTCTGTACACCAGTGTCTTGCAGACCCACCGGGCCAGAGGAGGCAGGTGCTCAGCAAAAGCCACACTGTACGAAGGTCCAGAACTCTGAGCCACGCTTCCCAGCTGGGGGACAGTGGGGACACTCGGGAGTCCAGCCGAGGGCCCATCTGGCAAGCTGCCCTCAGGACAGCAGCTTCAGGCTGGCCCACCCTGCTAGCCCCCTGCACAGAGCATCCTTAGGTTTCTCTGTTTCTGTTATTTCTTTCAGTCGATAGCTTGTGGTTTGTTTTTCTGCGTTTCCCTGCTCATAAGCGCACAAGAGCATGTGCGCATTTTACGGACCGACATTTACATAAGAATTTTATAAATGTGTTATTGTATCTCGGTTCAGTGGCCTGACTTTTTCTACAGCAGGTCCGAAATATTTTTTTTTTTTAAAGATTTATTTATTTGTGCATACAGAACTGGGGTACAGGCCAGAGACGCGGAGGGTGAGAGGATTCACCAGAGACAGAGCGGGGAGCAGGACAGGCAGATCGACGAAGTACACTGCTGAGGGGAGCAGCGGGCGGGTCAGGAGAGGTCTGCCGCGCCATGTGGTCACCTCCGGGGCAGGCGGGAATCGAACCCATGCGGAAGGGCTTCAGATTCTCAGTGCTGTGCTCTAACCCGCTGCGCCACCAGGGAGGGCCCCCGAAATATTTTTTCCTGACTTTAAGTATCTCTTCCAGCTTAGCATTATAACCACTCGCTGCTTTCTCACTGACACGCCACACGCTTGGACTGGGTGCTGACAGCTGCCCCCACAGTCCTGCTCCACCCTGCCCCTCGCCCTGTCTCAGCCCACGTGGCCCGGGCTTCGGCCGCCAGAAGTCTGCTTGGCAGGTGCAGACACGTCTCCATGGGTGGGGTGGCTGGAGGAGCAGGCGGTGCCCAGGGCACACTGAACACCCAGTTCAGGTCCAGGTTGCGATTCTGACACCAACTGCAAAGTTCGCTAGTTTCTCCAAACCACCCTCAGGTTTAAGAGGAAGGACCCACAGGCCCCGCAGGGAACTGTCCTGCCAGGTTGTGATTTAGGACAGAAAGGACCTGACAAGGAACCGAATGCAGCAGGGGACTGCCAGAGCCTGCTGGGGAGGGGAACCCAGCCTTCCCTTGATGTTGGGGTTGGCCACCAGGGAGGCTCCGCAGCGCCTCCCTGTGCGGTTTTCACTGGGGCTTCAAGATGTGGGCTTGACTGACTCACTGCCTGAGGTTACTGGTCTCAAGGGCAGCTGCATGCCTGGAGTCACCTGAGTGTGGCCATTTCCTGCGCCCAACAAGACAGTCATGGTAGGTATGATGCAGATTGCCTCTTGGAGGCCGAGGGCAGAGGTTAGACCTCTCTTTGGTCAAGGCCAAATTCTTCAGTACATACCCTCAAGAGGGAGCTGGCCTGCTGAGGCAAAAAACGTCAAGGCAAAAAATAAAGCCCCTCTGGTTAGCTCTGCACAATTAGGTTTCCTGGGATGACAGCGTGATCTTGTGTTTTCCCCCATAATCCTCTTGGTGTTCCTTGGGTGTGTCTTATTTGTACGTGCATGTTGTAGGGAGCCCGAGGTCCTTTGGAAGTAAAGATGGAAGGGAAAGAAGGTCGTACTTTCAGACCCTCGAGTCACCCACTTTAATGCTGCTTTTCCTTCCCTAGCTCTGGGTCCTCTGGATTTTGTCTCTTCAGTGAAGGGGACCCCAAAAAGCCTGATCAATTCTTGAATGTGAAACTATGGCTCATGTAAGTATAAATTTCTCTTTGCTTGAAAAGTAGATCTAAAATGTAGATCCTGTTGGATTTTTTTTTACATTTTAAAAGGGCAGGATTACTAGGAAAAGGGAAGGAGACCTGGCACACTCAAGGGGGCAGAAAGCCGCTGCTCTCGCTTTGCAGAGGGAGGTTTGTGAAGAGAAATGCCTGCCAGTCTCAGGAGGGCAGGGGCCCTGCTTATTGCCCATTTTTAAAGTGAATTTTCCGGAAGCTTGCTGTCCAGTGAAGCTGTTAACTCCGTACTTCTAGGTGTCCCGTTTCCTTAAAGGGACACAGAGCCCACATGGCTGAGTTTATGGGGCAGGTGCATGGCAGACCCATCACTGGGAAGCAAAACTGGCTTGTTCACCCTTTGACTGCTTAGTGGCAGATCCCACGGAGGGGAGGGGCGGGGGCGGCCTTGTTCCAGGCCCCGCACAGCCTCACTGCCCCATGTGCCACGTCCCCGATCCGAGAGTCACCCCTCTCTTGTCCTTCACCTTGAATCTGTCTCTTAGTCAGCATCGTGTGGGTGTGTGTCCTCAGGGTCTGGTGACCTTCTCGGACGTGGCCATCGACTTCTCTCAGGAGGAGTGGGCATGTCTGGACTCTGCGCAGAGGGACCTATACTGGGATGTGATGCTGGAGAACTACAGTAACTTGGTCTCACTGGGTGAGTTGCCTGCTCCAAACAGCTCCCTGGAACGCCAGCTCCCTCCCCTGTGAAGTCCAGGACACTCTCTCAGGAAACTAGGTGAATTTCTTCTTCCTGTCCCCAAGGAATGTTTTGTTGAGTTGGCAGTGGGCTAGAGGTACCTCCCTCTTCTCACCCACTAGTAACCTTTGGTCTCTCCTCTAATGACCTCCCCTCCTTAATGACCAAAGGAGGAATTCCAATTCGCGGATATTTGTTTCACCACCATCTTCAGAAAAAGGTTCCTGCGTGATTACACTTACACCTACACTGCTGTTGGTGACTATAGCACCTGAAGACCCTAATCTTCAGGGAACATGGCCCAAGAGTGAATGCATTTCTCTCTGGTAAGTCAGTCTCTGGGTGGTGTTGAGGCTGACTGGACAGACAAACGCTACGTAAAAGCAAACTGAGCATATGCCAGTTTGTGCTCACTCACCTAAAGTGAATCATGCTCCGCCAGCTTTCAGTATGAGGCTGAATGTCACTGTCAAGTATACACCTCAGGAAACTCCCTATTTTTCTGTTAGCACAATATTAATGACTGAAACAGTGCTTCCTCTGCAGTGGGAGCTGGTGTAAGCGCTGTGTGGATGAGTCCATATAGATGCATTTCTTTTCACTCCTCCACGTTCGCGAGGCGGGCACTGTTGTTATTCCTAGCTATAGATGACTAGGTGTAACAGAAGCAGCAGCAGTGAGAACTGAACCCAAGAATTGCGGTCACAGAATCCATCCTCTCACCTACCACGCTCTGCTTGCTTGCTGCCAGGGAGCTTGGCTCCAGAAGCTTTTTTTTTTAAAGATTTATTTTTATTTATGCATACAGGAACAGGAGTATAGGCCAGAGGTATTGGGGTTAGATAATTTACCAGAGACAGGGTGGGGAGCAGAACAGGCGGATCCACTGAAATACTCGAGGGGAGCAGTGGGAGACAGGAGGGGTCTGCTGCACCGTGGGTCACTCTCTGGCCGGGGATTGAACTCGCGCTGCAGGGGCTGTGGACGGTTTCCCAGTGCTGAGACCCAGCCCTGCGCCGCCAAGGAGGCCCTGCCTTCAGAAGTTTAAAATAAGACTTGTCCTCTGCCTATTCGGACCTGCCTTTTTACTCTTTAATCCTTTCCTTTGGAAGTCTTGGTAATCTTGTCTTTTAGGTTGTTAGATATCTGACTCGAGCTTGGTCAAAAACTGTGCGGTTAGCTGTCGTGTGCTGCTTCTTGTTTGGAAGCAGTTCCCTTCATTGCTAAGCCAGGTGTGATTGTCTTGTGGGAACAAGGGTAAGAATGTTGGTAGTTGTGAAGAGAAAAGCCTCAGTGCAGAGAGTGAGGGCCAGTCTCGCTAGCCACATCACCACCCTGGCGCTGTTATTTAAAGAAAAAACTACTAGTCACATATTAGAGAAAACTGCAAAGCAGAGCTGCTTTCCTCACATGCTCCAAAGTTGGTCATGTTCCATGTTTTAGTATCATTATGAATTCAAACAGCTAAACAACTGATGATGTGCATTCTCCAGCTGGCATTCTAACCGGTGTTCAGATTTTTCTAAACATTTTCTCAGAGTTGTCTCTCATTTCCTATAAAGCTTAATCTTCCATGTTGTCTTTCTGAGTGATTTTGAGTGCTGGGTCTTTTATCCTGAATTATTTTCAGTTGTTACTTTTACATATGTATATGCATGTTATTTCCAGAACGCTAGTATCAATGCATCTTTATTTTTACAATCGTGTACTTGGTTTTCTTGGATTTCCAGGGGTGTCATCACAGTATCTTCTCCATCTCCATTTCTGAGATTTTCCCACTTTCTGCTGCTGACCTGTGTCAGCTGCAGGACGCAGTAGGGTCAGACAGAGCCCTCCTCGTTTGGTGCTAGGAGCATCTCCATATTTCCTCACCAGCATCGCACAGCACCGTGGAATCTGCATTTGAACATGAGCCCCGGATGACACAGATGCAGTCTGCTAGAGTTGTTTCTCCCAGAAGTGTTCTGTTTGTGGTCAGATTTGGGTTTTCTTGCTTAGCTTGTCTTCCTTAAGGGGAAACAAAAATGTTCATTTTCTTCCAGATTTGGAGTCCCCATATGAGGCCAAGAATTCATCTACAGAAAGGAGCATCTGTGAAAGAAAAGTTCCCAAACGGAACTCAAATGGAAAAAGGAAAGCCCCTGCCTTTGGCTGGACATGTGAAGGTGAGTGTGAAGGACCACAGGGCCCTCGAGAGGGATATTTCAATCAAGTGATACTCAGCTGTGGGAAAAAGCCCACTCACAGGGGAAGCACATCTGCTAGGCCACACCAGAGACACAGCAGGGAGAATGCCTATGAATGCAAGGAGTGCGGGAAGGCCTTTAGTCGTAGCTATCAACTTACCCAGCACCAGAAAATTCACACTGGTGAGAAACCCTATGAATGTAAAGAATGTAAAAAAGCCTTCCGTTGGGGTAATCAGCTTACTCAGCATCAGAAAATTCATACTGGTGAGAAACCTTATGAATGTAAGGACTGTGGGAAAGCCTTCCGGTGGGGCTCAAGCCTCGTCATTCATAGGAGAATCCATACGGGTGAGAAGCCCTATGAATGCAAAGACTGTGGGAAAGCCTTTAGACGTGGCGACGAGCTCACTCAGCATCAGCGATTTCACACTGGCGAGAAAGACTATGAATGTAAAGACTGTGGGAAGACCTTCAGCCGTGTGTATAAATTAATTCAACACAAGCGAATCCATAGTGGTGAGAAACCCTACGAATGTAAAGACTGTGGAAAGGCCTTCATTTGTGGCTCAAGCCTCGTTCAACATAAGAGAGTTCACACTGGAGAGAAGCCCTATGAATGTCAAGAATGTGGGAAGGCCTTTACTCGCGTCAATTACCTTACTCAGCATCAGAAGATTCACACTGGTGAGAAGCCTCATGAATGTAAGGAATGCGGGAAGGCCTTTCGTTGGGGTTCAAGCCTTGTCAAACATGAGAGGATTCATACAGGTGAGAAGCCATATAAATGTACAGAGTGCGGGAAGGCCTTTAATTGCGGCTATCACCTCACTCAGCACGAGAGAATTCACACTGGTGAGACGCCTTATAAATGTACTGCATGTGGAAAGGCCTTTATTTATGGGTCAAGCCTTGTTAAGCATGAGAGGATTCACACAGGGGTGAAACCCTATAAATGTAAAGAATGTGGAAAGGCCTTCAGTCACGGCCATCAGCTTACACAGCATCAGAAAATTCATATGGGTGAGAAGCCTCTTGAATGTAAGGAAGGTGGAAAGCCCTGTGATCCTGTAAAGCATCACAGAGACCATCAGAAAATGCACACAGTCGAAGCACCTATATAATGTGATAAGTCTGTGGAAGTCTCCATACAACAGAAAGAAGAGTCATGTCATAATTTAACAGACAGAGCCTTCACAGTCACTGGCTGATGGCTATCAGAACAGTCAGGCTGCAGACAAACTGGGGAGAGTGGAGAAATCACTTTTTTGTAGTGATCACATCCTCGGCGTAGAAGTTTTCCACTGGACAGGTTAGTTTGATGAGTACATAAAAGCCTTCCCTTGTCATTGAATCCCTGTCGCATTTCAGATGCACTCTAGAGAATATTGTGGTAATGTAATGTAATGCAGGAAAGCCTTCATCACGGTACCGACCCTACCCATCACCATCAGCATCCCACCTCCTTCCTCCTTATGAGACACTGGGACTGTCACCTGCTGCCCCTGTGCATTTGTGAAGTGGGATTATCACACCTACCTAGAGCTGCTGTGGTGGTGACTGGGTCTGGTACATGTAAACTCCCTGAGAGTGTATCTGGAATACTGTGTAAGTTCAATAAATACTAGCTGTTGTTTTTATCATTACCATGAGTGTTGCTTTGGATGGATTATTACAAGAACCCCTCCCCCACCCGTCAGACTTCTAAAAAAAGTGTCAATTACTGTCAGAATTTCTTAGTACACAGAAGGCTTAAAACACAATTAACAATTAAAAAATGAAACCATCAGGCCCTCCCTGGTGGCGCAGCGGGTTAAAGCACAGCACTGAGAATCTAAAGCCGCTTCCACATGAGTTCGATCCCCGCCTGCCCCGGAGGTGACCACATGGTGTGGCAGACCTCTCCTGACCGGCCCACTGCTCCCCTCAGCAGTGTACTTCGTCGATCTGCCTGTTCTGTTCCCCACTGTCTCTGGTGAAGCCTCTCACCGCCCCTGAGCCTCTGGCCTGTACCCCAGTTCTGTATGCACAAATAAATCTTTAAAAAAAAAAAAAAATGAAACCATCAAAGTCCAAAGTTCTCTTTACCAAATGATACCATGGAAGTAGTGAAAAAGCAAGAAACAGACTGGGGAAAGATATTTACATAACCTGACCCAGGATCCACATAGAAAAAAAGGCTCAAGTCAGTTGTAAAGCCAATTCAGAGGGAAAGGCCAGGGGGGCTTGAGCAAGCACTTCCCAGGGATCACCAGAGGGCCAGTAATACATGAATTGCCTTCGACATTTCTCATCAAGGAAATGCAATAGGAAACCACTACAGCATGTCAGTAGACGCCGGACGGCTGATTGTAACAGTGCATACGAGCTGACTGCTGTTAGACAGTAAAGTAGGTCCTGATCAGGAAGGTACTGGGCCAGCACAACTGAACATCTGCCACATCCTGAAGGCCTGCAGCAGGGGCAGGAAGAGGGTGCTCAGAAAAGGTGGGGGAGGGCTTCTCCCAGGAAGGGGGTCAGTACCTCTTGATCGTCCAGGTTCTGGAGAGTGCAGCTTGACTTGATGGGATCGAGCGCTCCTGAACCGGTCTGTCCTGGAAGGAAACGGATTGTGTTGGGGAAAGTACTACTGGTGGGGGTTTGAGAATATGGGTGGGAGAGGACTAGGCCCCATGGCAGTGAACTTGAAAAGCTGGAGGAGGGACTAATAAACCTGGTGCATGTGTGTGGGGTGGGAATGGGCAGAGCTCAGGCCCTGGGAAGAAAAGGAGCCTGCAGGCTGCTTTTGAAACCAGAGGACTTGAGTGCTCAGGAGAACAGCTAGGAGAGATCCAGTGGGCAACCCTGGACTCAAGGTAAGACTGATTGGGGAGAACCCAAAGGAGTGTCCACTAAAGGCCGTCAAAGGGTGCAGAACTGGTTTTCAGTAGGACTTCCTTACCTTGGAGGGGATTGAATTTCAATGAAAATGAATTAGTTCTTATATCTGCACCTTAGTGCTAGGATGAGGTTAGAGATCTGAACCTTCTGGGGAAGAGGGGTGAGAGAGGTGCAGTGGAGGGGTGCCAGGCCTCCGTTCAGCACTGGAGCCTTTCAGGTCTAGTTTCCTACATCACTAGGAACCCTCCTAGTAAGAGTTACTTCTTAGCACACTGCTCTCCTGTGGATCCTATGCCAGGGTCAGCAGGACAGTCCCAGGGAGTGACCCAGTATTAGCAGTGATGCCAGTAGTAGCAGAACAGTGACCTAGGGAGCGAGCCCCCTGCTGCTTCAGATTATAGGGGTGGGTGGACAACATCAGTCCAGACTGTTCTGCCAAGTGGAGATGGAGGGGCTGGGCGAGAAGTAAGCAGGTGGTTACCAGAAGTGGGAATGAACAATGAATATTGAGTACAGCGTTACCTCTGAGTTGATGAGAATGTTCTGGAACCAGACTGAAGTGGTATTTACACCATGCGAATGTCCTCAGTACCACTAAATTGTATTCCTTACATGCATCAAATAATCACTCTGTACACCTACAATCACACCACACGAAAGTTAGGCTGGGGAGAACATGGTGACTTCACCCAATTAAAAACATCTTTAGAGGCCCTCCCTGGTGGCACAGTGGGTTAAAGAACAGCACTATGTGGCTATCCACACCCACTGCAGCATGAGCTCGATCCCCAGCCAGGGAGGTGACCCACATGGCGTAGCAGACCTTTCCTGACCTGCCAGGTGCTCCCCACAGTGTGATTCAGTCAGTTTGCCTGTTCTGCTTCCTGGTGGCGCAGGAGTTCATCTCAGCGCTATCAAGCTATTGATAACCACTGCAGTGAGTTCAATCCCTGGCCACGGAGTGACCCACATGGCTGAGTGGCCCACATGGCACACCGACCACCCCTGGCTCACCCACTGCCTCCTCAGTGTAGATTTCAGTGGACCTGCCTCTTAGGCTCCCCACTGTCTCTGGTGAATCCTCTCACCCCCAACACCCCAGCTCTTGTTTGCATAAATGCATACTTCCTAAAAACAATAAAACTGGTTTAAGTCGGTCAACCTGGCATATTGATGTATTTCACCATTTTGGGAAATGCAGCGGATCACAGAACCAGCTAACACAGTTGTGGGGGCAGCAAACTCCAGGGTTTGTGTACCAGTCATCACACCCCGGAGGCCCAAATCAGCCCCTCACTGCAGGGCTTGGGGACGCCACGGAAACCCGGAGGAGACACAGGCGGGGCCCTACCTCCGGCGGCGTCCTACCTCCGGCGGCGTCCTCAGCGTCCAGCAGCAGCGGCTCGGAAAGATGGCGCCTTCGCTCGCGGGGGTGCGGCCGGCCCGCGGTGGCAGCAGGAGGGGCCCCAGGGCCTCGCGGGTCGCAGGCCGCCGCCTCCCGAGGGAGGTCGCGGCGCGCGCGTCGGGCAGCGCCACCTGGCGGTGGAGGCTCCAGGACGCGCCCCGCCCCGGTCGCGTACCGAGGTCCCCAACTCTAACCGGCTGCAGGGGCAGGTCACGGGCCGCGTCGAGGGCCTCGGAGGCCGTGCGGAAGCCAGAGGGGCCGCAGCGGAGAGCTGAGGGGCGCCGGCGCCGGCAAAAGCCCCTTATCCCGGGTGGGCGGGTGCGCGCCCGGAGCCCCTTATCCTGGGTGGGGTCTGGGGGGGCGGAGGGTTAGGTCTGCCGCTATGGATCCTCTCACCTAGGCTGCTGGGGACCCTGGACTGGCCCGAGCACCCGCCTGGGCACGCTCGGCCGCTGCATCTTCCTCCGCAGTCCCGGAGGGTCGCGGCCTCCGCGGGGCGCGAGCCTCCCTCTCCCGGAGCGTGAGGTCAACCCCGCGAGGCCAGCGGCCCTAGACCGTGTGAGGGTGGGGGCGGGGAGGGAAAAGACGGGGAGCAGAGCGCCCCTTGCAAAGTGCTTGGTCTGCAGGATCAGACCGGCAGGGGCGGAGCGACAGGCCTCCCCTACTCCCGGCCCGGCCTCCCCAGAGCCGCCACTCGTGACTCTCCAGCTCCAGCCCGCGAGGCTTCACCGCACGGCCCGACCCCAGGGCCTGCGGGGCACGATCATCTGTGTGTGTGGGAGGAACGGGAGACATGGGGCCTCTGGCCAGAGGCACAGCTCCGCGGCTCGCAGACCCCCACTCTCCCCAAGACCCCCTGAGCCCCGTGATCTCCGCACACCAGCCCCAAGAGCGCCACATGGCGAGGCCGCCGTGGGTCTGGGGCTCGCGGCCAAACGCGTGCCTGGAGGGTCGGGGCCGAGGTTGGGCTCCAGCGCGGAGCTCGGGCATCACCATCCAGAACGCGTCGGGGAGCGCGACGTGAGCCCCGTCAAGGGACGGCCTGGTGCAGACCCGCAGCGCTCCGCAGTCGCGGCACGGGGTGTCCCACCCGGCCCCCCCTCACCCCCGTCACAGTGCACAGGATCAGGCCGGAGTCGCTCCCCTTCATTATGTTTCAGTAAAACAGTATTAAGGGGAGCTAAAGACAGAAGAACCGAGGAGGCGTTTGAAACCGACCAGGCGTTTGAAAACACCCGCCCCTTCTGCGGGTCCCAGGAGACCGCTGCGCGGCGGTTGAGGACGCCTCCGTCCCCCACCCACTTGTTTTCTCAACACAGGTCAGTTGGGTGCGTCGGGGACACCAGAGAGGAGACGTGGCGGACACGGCGGGGCTCCCCCTCAGCTGTCGCCAGGGCTACTTGGGCAGCGCTGCCCAGCCACTAGCGTTCAGACCCCAAACACTTCTTTTGACTTGCTGGTTTAGGCCGGCTCCCCAGCTGATTGTGCTTTTTGTTTGGTTTCATTTCTTCCGTTCTGTTTTTAATCCAGGAAGAGGCACTCCAGAACAGCTGACTAGACGTCCCTCACACGAAAGGAGCGGTATTTCCAGACACACAAGGCCCTAGTTTTTTGTTTGTTTTTTAACATTTATTTTGCTTGGCACCCCGGGGGGGGGGCGCAATTGGTTAAAGCGCAGCACTCTTGAACTCTCCCCAGCAACTGCAGCACTCTTCGGGAGTATTTGTAGAACGTGGGCCTAACCCAACGATTTTCGTTGCCGACACAACAGAAGGCATAACTGCATGTGGAAATTATGTGAACTCCCTGGCCATAAAGGTGTCATCCTGTAACTTCCAAAACTGGTCATACAGTACTTCCCATTCCATATGCTTTTTCGTAATGTGCTCTTGCAAAACTTCCATTGAGACAGTCTATTTCTCCACCCATTAGAATCTTCATGGGTCCTTGAACTGCTGTGAACAATGGAAAAATAAAAAAGATACTACTAGCAATATAATAGGTTCCCTTGGAGGCAAAATTTTGAGAAAGCTAGTCAAGATTTTAAGAAAACTTTCACACAACGGTAAATATTTCTATCTGAAAATTTTCATCCAAATTAGGATTCATTACAGACTCTGAGCTGCACGAAGATAACATCATGTTGAAAACTGACAAATTAAAGATCTTTGTAAGGCCTCATTTTATACTCATCACTCACTGCACAGTCTCTGCCCAACAGTGGCATGCCACATTGGATACTCTTTGCTTCCTAAACTTGACTTTTCCATCAATTAACTTGAGGGTGAAAAATGTGAACACAGTTCTTTCCTGGGTGAATTTTCTACACAAGTTTGTCCCAAACTAAGCAAGAAAATTGCCAACAATGAACTGTTTATGTTGTAAACAAAACACACATGAAGGGCTCATCATACCAAGGATTTATTTCTCAGTCAGAAAAAAGTATAAATGGCGATTGTTGAGGTAGAATCTGGAAGACTGCTCTCCCCAACCAATGGTGCTATCGTACATTAGGGGGCGGCCCTCATCTGATGGCTCCCAAGACAAACCATAGCTGGGGGAATGCACATTTTTGCCATCCCTTGTGGTCATATTCTCCTGGCCCAACCATGGAAAAGGGAGGCTGAGAAAAGCAGTTTCCCCACAAGAAAACATTTTGTGAATACATTTAGTCTCTATCACAAAATTCTCATGCATGATTTACTAATTTACACTAGATTGATGTGTAGAGAACATTCTTATTCTGTATCATCCTAGATGACACAGATGAAACTCCTATGTGAATTTCCTGGTGACTATCGAGAACTGGTCCCAGTAGGAAGTTTTCTTACATTCTTTACATGCATCGGATTTTCTCTCCTGTGTGAGTTTCCTGATGTAGACTGAGGTTTGTCTTACAGGAGAAGGTTTTTCTACATTCTTTACATTCATAGGGTTTTACTCCTAGGTGACTTCTCTGATGTTTACTAAGGTCTGACTTCTGGTAGAAACTTTTCCTACATTCTTCACATTCATAGGGTTTCTCCCCCGTGTGAATTCTCTGGTGTACAGTGAGGGCAGATTTCTGGTAGAAAGATTTCATACATTCTTTACATTCAAATGGTTTCTCTCCTGTGTGAATTCTCTGGTGCACAGTGAGAGCTGACTTATGATAGAAAGATCTCCTACACTCTTTACACTCATAGGGTTTCTCTCCTGTGTGAGTTCTGTTATGTCTATTAAAGACTGACTTCCAATAGAAAGTTTTCCCACATTCTTTACACTCATAAGGTTTCTCTCCTGTGTGAGTTCTTTGATGATAACTAAGGGCAGACTTGTAGTAGAAAGTTTTCCTACATTCTTTAC